CAAGGCTTGCGAAGTTCAGACCTACAGGATAGATCGCGTTTGAAAGTCCCGCTTCAATACATGGCACATTCGAAGCACCGCTGGGCCGGTCATCTACTTCATCGAACTGATGTCAGATGGAGTCTTCGAGTCAGAGAATGGCTTCCGAGAAATAAAAGAAGACTGTCAGGATGTACGCCGACTCGGTGGGCCGATTCGTTTTCCAAGTATTTCAGAGAAAGCGGCCTACATTGGATGCAAGTCGCGAAAGATCGGGCAGTATGGAGGAGCTGTGGTCCCCGCTGAGAAGACCCTCTTGCTATTGGACCATCAAAGTACCAAAGTAAGTATCATCTTGGCTGAGGCTTTACGAAAAAGACCTTTGTACGAGACTCATATCATGCCAAGATTCATCGAAAGCCGATCATGATCAAGATAATTTCCCTTCGTCGTTCAGACGGATAAGTTACCGACGGGCATTACGGGCATTCACGACTTCTACTCGGATCTCTTCAACAGCCACGTCCACCTGCCTACGTACCATCTTAGGCAAGACGGTTATGTCATTCCTTCAATTCTTCCCTCCGAAATTCGACATGCCATCACGTCGACACGTCGATGAAGAGTTGTATGACGCTCGTTCGGGATAGGATTAAATCAGAACGACCGAAGATTCCTCCACTAGTTATCGTCAAAACTCTGGCTGTGCTCTTCCCAATGTGCCTGTTGTCTGTACAAGCTTTTCACACGCGTCGTCCTAAACAGGATTGGCAGAATATTAGATGAAGGACAGCCATGCGAGCAAAAGGGTTTGAGAGGGGAATCAGTACGACCGATCATATCCACACTCTCACAAGACTCATTGGAGCATCGCGAGACCACAAGATGCCGTTATGTCTGACGTCACCGATTTAAGGAAGATCCTTGATGATGTGAGACAAAAGCAATGATTGAAGCGTTGAGCATCCGCGGTTTTCCTACGGTTTTCCTATGAGGATGCTTCGTGTGCTCTTAGACAACTTCACGACCAGGATTTCGCCGTTTCATGAGGAAGTTATTGTTAACGTGGAAGAATGGGTTCGGCAGGGCGATACCGTTTTGCCCGATCTTTTTGGGGGACGGTCAAGTCGTGCGTCCGAGGACGCGCGCGGCAAATTGCGCGGCGAAGTTCGTTACGATTTGAACGACTCTGACGCCAATTTTTGGGGCACAAACTCAAAGTAGAATAGTTTAGGCGGGTCAGATTATCCTCCTAATATCCTCTACTTCGAACTTGGGCCCCCATGATAGGCGCTGAAGTCGTTCAAACCGTTACGAACTTCGCCGCGCGCATCCTCGGACGCACGACTTGACACACACCCGAGCTTTCTGTGCCGCTCTTGCGAACATCTCCCTGCACGCAAGTGCAGAAAGGAATCCGAGCTACGCCAGCAAACGGATTTCAGGGATGCCACTGCTTACGCCAAGGAATCGAAGATTGGTGGGCCGGACACGTTATGCGTTGTGATGATCATTGTGCCACGGTAATTACTGGATGGGTCCCTTCAGACGTCAAGCGAACGCCAGGACTGCAGCCAGCGCAATGGTCGGTCGCTCTGAACCAAAGAATGCTGTGCCTTTGTTCCTGAAACAAGGACGATCCATTGGATCACTCGGGTTTGCGACAGGGACTTAACCTGCGCCCTCTCAAGGAACCGATGCTCAACGGGAAGACAGGTGATTTAGGTGATTCGCTCACCTGAGCGACCGGGTGTGTTGCGATTCGTGCGATTCTGGGTGCGCGCGGCGAAACCTGGTGCGATTCGGACGACTACAGCGTTTACCATTGGGGGCCAAATTCGAAGTAAACTAGGTTACTAGGATTGTCCTAACCTACTAAAGTACTCTACTTCAAGTTTGTGACCCAGTGATAGGCGCCGGAGTTGTTTGAATCATCGCGAATTTCGCCGCGCAATTTGCCGCGCGCGCCCAGAATCGCACGAATCGCACGTCCCCGGGGGACGGTACGAACGTGCGTCCGAGGGTGCGCGCGGCGAATTGCGCGGCAAAGTTCGTGACGATTTGTACGACTGCGGCGCCAGTTTTTGGGGCACGAACTCGAAGTAATGTCGTTTAGTAGGGTCGGATGATCCTCCTAATCCACTCTATTTCAAATTTGGGTCCCAATGATAGGCGCCGAACTCGTTCAAACCATTACGAACCTCGCCGCGCAATTTGCCGCGCGCATCCTCGGACGCACGTTCGTACACATACCCCACGTCCCCCTGTGTGCAACGCGTTGGTCGCGGTGTGAATGGTGCAATCTCTACAGGCTCTACAACGCAGTGAGAGCTCGTGCGTCTCCGGAGTGTACGTCGACTTACCCCGTTTTGAAGTCCTATTACCCTCTGTCTGGGCTGTTTTTCGATCCGAGAACATTGTGCTATCCGTGGGGATCACAGAGAAATCTCAGAAACCATTTTTATCGTGAACTGTGTCTTTAACATTTTGGATATCTTGTTTCTGCGATGGATCACTGGTAGAAGAATAGTATGTAGGTAAGTATCCACGGAAAATGGAAGGAATTGAAGGCCGTGTTAGAGAACGGTTTTCTTCGTGTGTTCTCATACACAAAAAGATGTATGGGCGGAGCGCGCATGGAACGAAACCGCTTTTTGAACGGCTGGCTCTTTATTCATTTTCACCCATGCCAAGAATTAAATCTGGCAGCTAATTTTTCAGCTGTCTGTGAAGTCACTTTTATGAATAAGCTGAAAACCCATGCAAAATCGATTTCCGATGAGGCATGGCATGTATGCCGAGTATGCCTACTGAGCTGAAAGTGTGTACGGAAAACGCTCCCTACGTCGCTATTACGGATCGATTCTTCTCGTAATGCACTTGGAATGTCAAGCTTCGACATCCACCGGTCCATGCTCAGTGGGTACTGGAAAAGGCAGAGGTTAGGCGATCGAAAGCGGTCCACCTCTACCTTCCACTATGTGCACCCCTCCTCTCCCCCCACCCCCTCGAACCCCTCCCCTCACTAGCGGGTCGATAGATGTGAGGTTTTTTTGCCCACGCAGATAAATGGCTCAATTCAACGGAGAAGTGATGTGGATGTTCCGTGAAGTTTCAGAAATGAGCTACATTTCTTGTTCTTTTTTTTTGTTTCTCTAACTTTTTCTTATCCTCTCTGTGCTACGGGACGGCCTACGTTACAACATTGACAGGACGTACCTTCAAGGAAACTCTTTTCCACTATCTAATCATATAGCA